TGAGACTCATCAGCTTCTATTAGGGAACGCATAATAATACCCAGATGCAGCTGCCAACGTTTATGTGTATTTTGATCATTATCCTCGTAGCGATATTATGGGCGTCTAGTTACCACGCAGACGTAGGCATCAATTATAACCAGGTTATAATATTCTGCAGAGAACATACAGATGCTTTTGCATCGAACAAATGTTCAGAAATTAAATACTCTCAAGCTGATGCACAACGACACGAATGGTTCTTTGTTTTACGAAAAATACTGCATCGTTGATTTGTATGATTTCACGTAAAAATATTATTAATTTTATCCTACTTCTCGTCAATAATGTTAATTAACACTTTACCGACCGGTAGCGGTTGATTAATCGGCTATCGGTCGGTAAGCGTTGGTCGGTAAAAAAGTTGATTAATACGCTATCGGTCGGTAAGTGTCGGTAAAAAAGTCAATTAATAGGCTATCGGTCGGTAATGTGTTAATATTAATATTACTACCATAACAGTAAGGAGAGTTTCTTCCCAACAGAGTAGACAAAATACCTGACAATGAGTTAACAAGAAATTTGCTCATAATTAAATTTAATATCAAATAAAATTAATAAAATAATAAATTTTTAATTAATAAAATAATAAATTTAAATTTGCAATTTAATAGATTTTTTAACTTATAAAAATGAATTTTATGTCTTAAAGATCTTTCGAAGCCATGTTATATTAAACAAAACTAGCATCGATATGATCTAAGTTGGTCAGGTTCCATGTTCCACCCTATATTTCAATATCTCGTTTAGTGTCTACCAACAAGCGAAAAGGAATGCAACGAAATTGAAAATTTAATTAAGAATGATATGCTCGGATATTGAATATCGAGTACCATGTGCAAATAGAGATACGATTGTCTGGCGATGAAATTTTTCCAAATAGCTTTTTTAATAACTCCGCGAACGTATAGATTGTGTTAATGATTTCCTCCCTTTTATAACCTTTCCCTGCAGAATTACGGAAAGCAATTTTTCACCCTATCTCGAGTCGTATTGGATAATATTAAAAATGTGAGGAATCGGATCTGGAATGTGCTGCAATCAACGCGATATAATAACAATTTGATAACTATTAAACAAATCATAAAGTCGAAGATTGAAAGCCTTCTTATAAGAATCCCCTTACAATTTGATTTCAACATTCTGTTCCTCCAAAAAATTATTTTCTGTTGCGGGGGTCAATTACAATCATTTTTGGTGATTAGACATACCCACTTGCGAGAAAAAATTTCATTTTTTGTCTCACTTCCTCTTGTATTGATTTTTACAATATGAACTGTTGGTAATATCGCGAGTGTCACGAAAATGGTAATGAAAAATGGGCCGAAAGAACACATTGGATGTAAGGTCTATTCGTATACCTCATCCCTGGTACCATAAACGAGGTATAGAATAGAAAACTATGCATCTAATGGAAATCGGTATTACACGCATTTAAATACCCACCTGGTAAAAAACCCAGTGGATTTGAGCGACCTCTTCGTTTAAAGAACGGTGATCTAGAGAACTGTGACCAATTGAATTACTGCCAATCTGACTGCCATACCGACTTGAAAATTCGGAGCTGATTTTAACGTCCTCTTCACATGGATGGTGATCAGTTGAGAAACTATTCACTGAATTAGCATTGATAGGCAACAGCTGCAGTGTTGCGTAAATCATGAGTTGAGTATGAAAGAGATTGAAATTCATTTCTGGATCTGTTGGTAACGTTGCGAATGACACGAAAATGGTAATGGGGTTTCGAGACCCCCTAAAAATAGGCAGCAAAAATACATTGAATGAAGGATCTACTTCTATACCTCATCTGTGACAATACTATAGAATCTTTGATGAATCAATGAGAATCAAAACTAATCGAATGAAGAAGCTCTATATTTGAGATGACCTATGCAAGGCGGATCGCAGCCAATTTGCTAATATCATTTAGTTTTTAATTAATAATTGCATTACCCAGCTAAAAGTGATACGATTATTAATTAAACGCTAAATAATATTACCCAGGTCTCACCACGAGGAGGTTGCTGCGAATGGAGACCCGCCCTAGCCGATTCCCAACCACCCTCCATTAATAAAAATCTTTTGTGACCAACGATCGTTGGTCGAAGAAGCAATAAACGAAAGTGCAACCAACGAAGGAAACAACCAACGAAAGAGTTTTTTCAGAAAGAATTTGTCTTTAAATTCTCATCAACAAAACAGAGAAATGGACCAAAATATTGCCTGCCTCATATAATGATTAATAGAGAAAACCAAACTCCTGCCTAACTATAAATCTAAATTCATTTACATCCTACCTATCTAATCATCTAACAAAATACATAGAAAATATATTCTTCCTTGTTGATCCTTCGACGAAGATTTCCTGAAACATACTGCTACATTTTACCTAACTATAAATCTAAATTATTAAAACATAAACTAAGCAATCTGAAACAAAATACATGAAATACATTCTTCTTTCTTCTATCTTCTATTTATCCCACGATGATTTCCTGAAACACAAACCAAGCAATATCAAACAAAATTGTAACAATTCTTAATTGTTACCTCTATAGACCTAAAACTTCCATGGGAATATGATCTGAAACAGAAACTTCTTCAATAGATTAGTAAGAGAACAACACTGAACCTGTAAAACTACAAATACTACAACTACAGGCAAGTGCAGTGAGAAAGTAAAAATAGTACATCATAATATACGAGATTACTTTGACTCTAAAATGTATTCGTCGCGAAATATATTCTTGCACGTGAATCTAATGATATATTTTAATAAGTAAAGAAAGACTTTGGGTATCCTCGACATCGAAGATAGCCAAAGTCGTCAACTCAATTATGAAAGTGAATTTAATTATTGAAGAATGTAAAGGACAATCGGAAGCTACTAATTTGACACTCATTCTAAAATTAATATAATTATAAGTATTATAAAAGATATTAAAATCATGACTCTACTTTCAATCGATATTGCGGTATTTGTCATATTAAAAATTGCGGCGTGTAAAAAGATCGCACGCTTAAATAAAACGCGACGCGACACGTGCTCATAGCGTGCAGTGAGTGTGGGTATCAGATTGATCCCCCCCGGCCTTGATTATCAGAAAAGCAAGTCGCGCCCCTGACCCACGTCTATCGGACCTCTCTACGTACAACCGCCGGGCCCTGGAGGACACACGGTCACAACAGGACCCGCTTAGTACTCGAGAACGGATATGGGTCAAGAACTCTCACCGGAGGTCATTCTCTTTTCCGTATAAAGAGGAGAATATATGCGCTCGGTGAGGCCCCACTTAAGCTGAACCAAGCTGCACCGGGGTTGAAGCGGTAAGAGCTATCACACCTAATACACAGGTGTCACATGTTTCATTCAATCAAACAGAGGTGATCGAGCAAAAAACTCTCCGGTCCTTTCGGTCGAGACATAATCTCGGAAAGCGAGAACCAGAGAACAAGCGAACGAGAGATTACAGATGTATATGTAATAGAGATATATGTACTCATTATATATTCATTTTAAAATGAGTGTCAAATTAAAAATAATTGAATCTACTATGACATTTGTCATCTTAAAAATCGCGGTGTGCAAGAAGATTATAATTTTAAGTAAAAGGTACTAACTACACTTGCCAAAGAAAGCACGTATACAACTAGTCGTTTTACCCCTTTGCCTTACGATTTAATTTCCAACTGTGCGTCCCAAAAGCGACACCAAGGTTTGGCCCGGTAGACTTCTCACGTCTCTGAGATGTGAAACACTTAAAAATGATCTATCACCTAGCTAAAGGGAATTGAGCAGAGTATATTAGTAAAATGTTACAAGAATTTAAGCTGAAACGTAAAAATAAAAATCTTATATTCATCAGTGTCATCGCAACAAATATGGTATATGCATCGATACCATATTCTACATGTCAAAACGCACATTCGTAATTGTAATGAAAGAAACTTGGATCGAGACACCAAGTTTAATCAACACCAAACAATCAAACGAAATGGAAGAATCGAACAAAGTACCTCCGTAGAATATTACGAGAATTCGAGCAAGAATATAATATTACGTTATTATATCCCGCAATATTATACATATCAAAGCAGTCAGATAGATAAATGAAGTTGAATTCGCATCAAACAAACAAATAAAAATAATAAAATATAAATAAGTGGAGTGGACTTACTACTTGTTGTCAGTACATAGGGTAGTTACCACTGGGTCATCTGTAAAGTAAGAAAATATTCATATTATAGCAACATCAGTTAGACAGGCAAGGCAAAATCAGTTTATTGAAGCAAAATTGGCATCAAACGATAGAATAGAAGAGGGGAGAGAATTTTTGAACAGTTCTTACCGTTGGTCATCACCGTCCGGCACTGGTCAGTAGTGGTCAGCAGTGGTCAGTAGTGGTCAGTAGTGGCAGGAGCACTAGTCAGAACTGGTCAGTAGTGGTCAGTATTGGTCAGTAGTGGTCAGCCTTGGTCATCTCTGGCCAGTAGTGGTCATCAGCGGTCCCCGGTTCTCTTCTAGCCGTTTGAACACTCCCGAATTCGCGACGCGACTGAAGAATTCTTCGCAGTGACCTTGCTGATATGTCTAAGATAAGATAAGGAAAGGGTGGGGAGACCAGTCAGAGCCAAAGTTAAAGTTAACAGTTAAGACTGTCTTGTCTACAAAGGAACTATTTCGATTGGTCCCACCTCTTGACCATTTCTGGATCTTCACTGGACCGCTGACCTTGATATCAATCTCACTGTTGACCACCAGTGACCATAAGCTAGTCATTGATGATCATCGACCCATTAAAACCATTACGAAGATTAAAGCCTTAATAATTTATTAAAAAGTTGATAAGCTGTGGTACATTTATTTCGTCAATTAATTATTCAGTCACGTTTATTAAACTTATAAGTAAATTTTTCAATATTGAATACAATGAACAAAGTATTAATTGTTTTATCGGGCATCATGTCTCAAAAATTGTTTCGATGGACGGTCTAACATGATCGTCCTTTTCGTAATACTCCTCGCCTTCTCCACGATACTCTCCAGGATACTTTAAGTATTGTTCTCTTTCCATCAATTCCTCCGAACATTTTTCTACAAGAGACTCCAGAGAATCCTGAAAATATGAAAAAAATGATAATGAATTCTTTAATGTAATAAAACATTACGCTTATTGATTACTATCGACGAAGATAACTCGTTGGGTTATTCGATTGCACAAGAAAGGACGCGATACATAAAGCAAAAGAGATTCTGATACGGATATCGTAATTTTATTAATGAATACACAGCTCGAGCTCTGTCAAATCGGAATGGAAGCGACCGGAAGTTCTCGTTAGACTGAAAGCAATCAATTTAGATCGCTCAGCTCATCTACTTCCGTTTTCCGTAACATCCTGGACGTCCGAACAAATTTGTCGAACAGCAAAACCGGATATCGTCGGATAGTTTTCCGGTATTTATTTCAGACACTAATATAATGTTAAATGTTTTCACTTCTGGGTAATAATAGGAGCTTCCTGTTTTTGGTAGTTGACAATCAACGAACTTTTTAATATACATTTAAAAAACTATTAACATCACCCATAATAAAAGCGTGTGTATATTTGATGTGTTTTTTACCAACAAACACATACAAGTTTAGCTAGGAAATTGGAAATACTTAAGTATATTATGCATTACCTCTTCTTGGAAAGGAACTGGTTCTGGTGGTAACAGATCAGGATTATATGGCGTGATACAACGCGCGCGCCATATTGGAATAATGCCTTTTTTCAAAGGAAGCGGTTCCAATTCCAATACTTCGCTTTTTGCATCTTTTGTTATTTCCTACAAAGCAATATAATTCGTTTTATATTATAAATAGTCATTGGATCTTTCTATAGAAGATTTACTGGCAATGTGAAGCAGCACGCCATTTTTCAATGCATAAAAAAACATTTTAAAGCGATATAAAATTCAAATATTTAAACAGAAAATACAACGTTATTTTTTATTTGCAATTATTGTGTAGCATGCTAATCAAAATCGATATTTTGCATCACAATTTTTACCTCCGTGGGTTCATCCTGCGTTTCATCGAATTCCACGTCTTCAACGTGTACGTAGTGTCCATGTTGCATGCAAGCATTCTCGAAAGTGAAACAACCCCGACCATAAGGCTGTAATTATACTGTTTGTCAATAATGTATTTCTATATTTTTGATTATTTTTTCAACCTTCGTTGGTTATTCTTTTTAATTATTTTGTATTTTAATTAATTATTTTTGGAGCAACGTGTTGAATTTGATTGAAACTTGGATATGTTATTTTCAAGATTTCGAAAAATGTTTCAATGCATTATGAAAAATTCGCTACCGCTCTTGTTAAAATATATTTTGTGGACAGAGCAGTTTACAATAAGCAGTTGTGAAATTAACGATATAGAAAATGTTTAAAACTGTTTTAAAACATCGCTAAATATTACAACATGTTCAAATTTCAATTGAGCTCGAAACATTGTTTCGAAAAGTGTTCGATTTGGTTTGCAATGGAACCTTTCGTAATTAGTTCACCAAATTTAATTCCCAAAATCCGTGGAATCGATGACGGGGATGGATCAATTGTCCAGGTCCTTGCATACGATCCACGATCCATGTTCCCATAAATTTGGTGTTCGTGTCAGCGTACAAGTATGATCCCATACCGTGTCGAAAGTTCTTCTTCCACGAGCCTTCGTAAACGTCGTTGTTTATGTAATAATATACACCGAAACCGTGTTTCATATCTCTCTTCCACTCCCCTGTGAAAAATTCAGTTGTCTACAAGATATCCACAGGCTTTGATAGCCTAAGTTTGCCAATATTGTATCAAAAATAAGAAAAAAATAAAATAAAACGAAAGAAATACTGTTAAATTTGTTTTAAAAACCGGAAAATTTTATATAACCCCAAGTATAATGTCTTTTTTGTGTTCCATATGCAAATATTGAATTAAAAATTATTTTTGTTAAAATGTCGTATGTGTATTCAGTTATACTTGTTACTTCTTCATTCTTTTACCATATCTCTTCATTTTATATTTAAATTTCGTACATTACGAACGCCATAAATAAAAAATAACATTGTTTTGTTTTATTATGATTTTTACCAGTCCAATTACTAATTAATTTTTGTATTTTCTGACCGAATTAATTTGTTTCGAATAAAATGAATTTAATTCAATAAATTGATTATAAAAATGATTGTTTTAACTCGTTTCGGTGTTATATGTAAATTATTGTGTATCTTTTCGACCGCCTTGCGACGTTTCCGAGTTTGGATCGGATTCTATTTTCGTGCGTTGGTTTCGTACCCTCATATCGTGTTCCATCGGGATACCAAAAAGTTCCTTGACCATATTTCACACCTTGTCTCCATTCACCGTCGTATCTAGCACCGATTTTGAACACGTAAAGTCCTTTGCCGTGCCTCGATCCTTTGCAGTACTGACCCACGTACATGTCGCCATTGGGGAGCAAAGCTTTACCCTGTCCATGCCTGTCTCCTTTATCGTTTCTTTCACCTTCGTACACCTTCAATATTCACTCGATATTAACGATAAAACTTGTTCAATTCAATGTACTGATTACGATTAATATTTCCCACGAATAATCTTTAAAATTGATGAGTCAAATCACGATTGTTAAAATTATGAAAACTCCTCTGTTCTTAAAAAAAACAATCATCTAAGATACTAACAATTACTTGGAAATTCTGTCAGCCATATTGATTATACTCAGCTTCCTTTGCCAAAGAAAAAAACAACGAAAGAAAGGTGACGCAAAAGCTGCCATTTTTTGATAAATTTTCACGAAAGATAGGAAAAAGATTTACACATTTTTAAAATTCTTGCCTTTCATAGCTTCCTTTGCCAAAGAAAAAATAACGAAAGAATGCTAACTTAAAAGCTATTATTTTTTGATAAATTTTCACGAAAGAAAAGAAAAAGATTTACACATTTTTTAAATTCTTGCCTTTCATATCTTCCTTTGCATTCGCATAAAAAAAACGTACGCAAAGAATGTATTTAACGAGTTTTTGCAAAAACAGCGCCCTCAAAGTTAGAAACGCATTGACTTCGCGATAAGATTAAATCTCACTTTTCTAATTAAAATTAGCCCGTTATATGGAAAAGGTCCAGATTCGACAGAAAGGATTACCGAGGTTATTAATTGTAATATCAAAGACGAATTGGGTCAATTATTTCGGAACATGAAAGAGAAACGCTCACCCCGAGCGGATTTACTTCTTCTTCTCCGCGTTCACCTACGATCGGTGGATACTCTGACATTTCTATTTCCAAAAGAAGCTTTTGTTACATTTTACGAATACTCGAAAAGAATGTTCAAACATTGCACAATCGATTATCAAAATCGATACGAATAATTTACTGACTTTGCATAGTTGCGTTAAAAACTAGATTAATTACTCTTCGTTATGGCTGCACGATTTCTTCGAAATTAATCCTTTCAACTCATCAAACTTATGAAGTTTATATTATGTGTCTTGTTTTATTATTGATTTGTATTGGAAAATTACAATTTTGAAGTTACCAATAATTACTATTAAAATATCTTTTAATTAAGGGTGATCATAAATCAATTTCTACCTCTTGATGCATTAAAAACTAGATTAATTACTCTTTGTTATGGCTGCACGATTTCTTCGAAATTAATCCTTTCAACTCATCAAACCTTTAAACTGTTGTTTCAAAATTATGAAGTTTATATGTGTATTGTTTTATTATTAATTTGTATTGGAAAATTACAATTTTGAAGTTACCAATAATTACTATTAAAATATCTTTTAATTAAGGGTGATCATATAAACAATTTCTACCTCTTGATGCATTAAAAACTAGATTAATTACTCTTTGTTATGGCTGCACGATTTCTTCGAAATTAATCCTTTCAACTCATCAAACCTTTAAACTGTTGTTTCAAAATTATGAAGTTGATATGTGTCTTGTTTTATTATTGATTTGTATTGGAAAAATACAATTTTAAAATTACCATAAATAATTACTAAAATATCTTCTATTTAAAATTGATCATAAAAACAATTTCTACCCCTTGTAAAACGTAATAGGACGAATGAATGAAACAATTGCGAATTACTCGGTATTAATTGATTGAATTCAGAGGAACAGACAACACAACACCGATTGGTGTAAAACAAAGCCATATTTTAAATATTTTACTGACTGATATTACCACTGGTTGCTTTGCTATCCAAACAAATATTCTCGTTGTTAAATATATTCGATTAAACCGATTGTTATTAAACACCCCAAGGAATCAAGCTCCAACGATTAAAAATAAATTTTACCTAATCGATCCAACGTGTCTACAACATCACCGTAGAATTATAATGTGCGATTCTTTTCTGGTTTTAACACTTTACCGACCGATAGCCGATTAATCAACCGCTACCGGTCGGTAAGCGTTGGTCGGTAAAAAAGTTGATTAATCGGCTATCGGTCGGTAAGTGTTGGCCGGTAAAAAAGTCGATTAATAGGCTATCGGTCGGTAATGTGTTAAGTTCGATCTGATAGAAAGCTCTTTATTACTCGACGTTTCTCTCTTTCTCTTAGCGAAACAAAAGACTGATGTTATTTATATTTTACACATTTCTGGAGATACATACATATGTGCTCGCTTCATTTCACGCCTTAGCAATAACATACGGTAATACACGGAATTTATTTGCACTTATTCTATATACTTTTACATAGCCAGTCGTGTCTTCGTACCTACATGACAAAACTCGTAGACGCTGAATATATTGATTTTTATTAATTACAACACTCAGCTAGTTGTCAAGCTTTCGTAATGGAAATTGTTCATGTACAAACCGGCGCAAAAAGAGACCTTGCGATTGATAGAATGCAGTTTGTTTTGGCAAACTAGTTTTTAGCGAGGAGAGATTCTCTCGTGCCGGATGTACGAATGCTCTGCAGCAACTGTTTTAACAGAACCAACGATGTTTTCTAGGCGACAACGAGGGAAAGAACGAAACCACGTCACCGACCCGTCAACAAACCGATCAAAGCCTGTTTCTCCTTTTCTTTCTTCCTCACTGTCTCCAAATTCCGCTGCTTCCACGAGCTTTTTCGCAGCTTTATAGGTCGCGAGCCAACGTATCGCCCTGAAACACACAAACATTTTCAATTTAAATTAATTATTCAATTATTCATTTAACGCTCATATTTTTCGGGCTAACCAAGAATGATCAATTTTCTTTATTGGATTTTTGTTAATTGCAATGTTGCATCCGACGTATAATTCGAAGAAAAACAAATATTTTCATCCCTTAAACAATTAGATTAAAGAAATTTCGTCTTTCAAAGCAATCAGACGAAGAGAAGAGAAGGGGTTAATTATTCGAAATTATAATAATTCACTGTGGTTGCTGAAATCATCTAAATTAACACGTTTGCCCTGAATCGTCTTAATTTGTTATTTATTATGAAAAATCAGGATTCTGAATAATGTATCATCATCGATAAAGAGAATATGAACATTGTCGAGTAATATTTGCTTGGACGTAGGCTTTTCGAACGATGAAAACGGTATAATACATGATCGATCAATGTTAAACAGATCCATAGCAACTCTTTTAAAAAAAGGATCATTGTCTGGGCAATTTATCCGTTTTATTAAGTTTTTAATTTGGAAAAGAGAACCACGCAAAGTGTTGTTAATAAGATCTCGAAAAATAAAAGAAAAAATCACGAAAGTGCTGTTTAGAAATGATTAGTTTTTCGAGTGTGAAATTTCTACGGATTCTAGCGTCGACATGGGCAAACTTTCGAAATAAATTCGGGGATCATGCACACGGGGAAACGATATCCCGGGCCACGGAAGAAAGATAAATAAACCCTGCGTGGAGTGGTTTTCACAAAAAACAAATTACGGATCTCAGGCACCCTCGATCGCGCGTAAAAATCTTGACAGAAGGGTAATATTGCCTTCGATAACGGTGGATATTCAAAGTGTACTACTTCGAGGCTCGTTTCATTGGTTTCTTGAATGATAGAACCCACCCACGCGTTGTTGTGAATACCATCCCTCGTTTCGAGCACGTCCACCAAGTTCTGCCACGTTTATTTTGTGTCATAGCGTCAAAGTAACCGAGTTTGTGAAATAGACAAGAATTAACTACATTACTGTCACAAAAATTAATATTCAATAATATTAAATGTACAAATGAACAATCCAACTTATCTTAACCCCTTAACCCTCACATTTTTATTCAATTTTATAATATCATATTTTTTGCATTGATAATTGTAACATATTTTATAAAATAGAGGGCATAAAACGAATAATAGAATGTGACACAAATCATTCTATATCAAACACTATAATTTTTTATTTTATGATATAAATATACATACAATTAAAAATGTAATATGATATATTTTAAAACATGGTACAGCAATTAGCCCTACATTGCATTCACTGCACATGTACAGTGTTTCTTTCTTGCATTTTTTGCAGCGAATTAAATAGAAGAAATCTTGGGGTTTTATCTTTCAGAATTAATAAAAATAGTGATAAGAACGTGTAATAGGAAGATGAGTAAATCGATTGCCAGTGATTTTCGTTTAATTGCGTTAATTAGCTAGGATTTTAGGATTTTAGGATTTTAGGAGCGACGCTTGTTCTAAGAAATTGGCTATCAAAGAACAGTGCAACAGAGGATGTAAAAATACACCGCGAGATGCATCAATAAAAGTGGATATCTCGCAGAGGCACACGACCTCGGAAGAATCATGAATTCCTACCTCTTTCTCAATCGCCCACGCCTCGATCTTTTTTTATCACCTTCCGTCCCTTTTGGAAACACGAAACGCGACGACACAGGCGTAGCTTAATACGATAGAATTCGTAATACTAATTTGTTCAAGACGAATACAAAGGGAGTGGAGACAAATAAAATCTTAGTATTTGTAAACTCACTGTGATTGAACAAATAGATATCTGAAATTAATTTAGAACAGCAGAATTACGAATTAACTTTAATTTCAATTATTAAGATACGCAGTTGGCCATTGAATACGAAGCGTATAGTAAAATTTTTGTAAATTTTTCGAGTCGTGCACATATGTAGAGACCAAATGTGTTATAGCAATTAAAAAGAAGCGACTGGAATGCTCGAGTTTCGTCGGGATAACGCGAGACCGCATGTCTCGTTGGAAAGTCGGAAAAAGAATCCGGGAGCTATTTAAGTCGGGATATTCTTCCTCGTCCGCCGAATTTAACGCCACTGGATCATCGTCAGTTCCGGTCTACAGAGAACCTTCAGGATTAAAATTTTAATACAGCAAAACCGGCCAAAATACTCTTTAAACATTCTCTAAAATGAATCCTTAACTCGAAAACCAAGTATGCAAGAATCCACACGTTCGTACGACACTTTTTACCTTTTTTAGCGCGTTGACTCACCCTCTGAAATACGAGCGCATGTTTCTGACACCCCATGTGGTCCGAATAAAGTGTTGTAAGCTGTTTTCTTAGATACCATACCGAAGATATAGACTTTTTTTACTTTTCTTAAGCTTAATGGGGGAGCTAATTTTGTCATAGGCAACTAATTCTTTTTCTAAGGATGATTATGAGGAAAAAGTGGGGGAAAAGAGTTTCTTTCATATGGGAGATATTATCTTTGTTGTTGGAATAACTCTTTTTTTTAAATGGAACGATATTTATTTTCAAGTAAAATGAAGTTTTAATATAAATAAAGGTAAAGTCACGGATCAGTTGTGTAATTTTGGTCAAAGTAATCGCAAGGTTACACCTGGGACAACGAGAGACGTCGAGACAGATACCTCAAACAATCACTCATATATCCGTTCAAAGACTCATCATTTCCCTGACTTGACCAATATATGTATATACTTTATATAATTTATAAAGATTCTGGAACCACTTAAATTTTTAAAACAATTTTCAAATACATTCAAAACACGATAATTTAATTCTTCTTTAAAGGTAATTAAATTTCGTTTAAAAATGAATTTCTCAAGTTCGAAATGGTAAGGGTATATTTATATGACGAATCGTTTCGGAGCACCGTGTATAAGCCACGAACTGAATGATCCGGACCTGTTGGAAATAAGAGTGACAAAGTATAAAGATTTTAGTAATTCTATTTTTCACCTTTTTCTCTTTCCTTCCCGACGCGTCACCTCCTAACCCACCCACTCTCGAACTCTTCTATAAATTCCAGAGGTTTGTTTTCTCGGAGAAATTTTGGTTCCGTCGTTTCGTTTCCCCCCGACTTGCGACGCGTTCGCGTTTGAATCGATTCTCGAAGATATGATTCACACGTGGCCGTCCGCTCGTACGTACGTTTCGACTACTTGTTGCGTCTGACCAAATTCTCGACGCGCCACTTGTAGCTGACGCTACTCACATACAGGGTGTTCTATCACCCCTGGGAAAAATTTTAATGAAAGATTCTGGGAGGCCAAAATAAGAGGAAAATCAAGAATTTCTTGATTGAGGCTTCGTTGAAAATTTATTAACAATTAAAATCAAAAATTTCAAATCGTTCTGGAAAAATTATTTTCGGTTGTGGGGGTCAATTTCAATCATTTTTGGTGAATACACATACCTTCGATATCCTACCCACTTTGGAGAAAAAAATTCGAAGGTGTGAAATTTTTCGAGAGAATTAAAAAATTTCAAATCATTTTGAAAAAATTATATTCGGTTGCGGGGGTCGATTACAATCATTTTTGGTCATTACAATTACCCTCGAAATCCTACTCACTTTCTAGAAACAAATTCGAGAAGGTGTGAAATTTTTGCGCGGAAAAAATAATTTCAAATCATTTTGAAAAAATTATTTTCGGTTATGGGAGTCAATTAGAATCATTTTTGGTCATTACAATTACCCCCGAAATCCTACTCGCTTTCTAGAGAAAAATTCGAGAAGGTGTGAAGTTTTTGGATGGAAAAAATAATTTCAAATCATTTTGAAAAAATTATTTTCGGTTGTGGGGGTCAATTACAATCATTTTTAGTCATTAGACACATCCTCGAAATCCTACCCACTTTTGAGAAAAAAATTCGAGAAGGTGTGAAATTTTTGCGCGGAAAAAATAATTTCAAATCATTTTGAAAAAATTATTTTCGGTTATGGGAGTCAATTGCAATCATTTTTTGTCATTACAATTACCCCCGAAATCCTGCTCACTTTCTAAAAAAAAATTCGAGAAGGTGTGAAATTTTTCGACGGAAAAAATAATTTCGAATCATTTTGAAAAAATTATTTTCGGTTGTGGGGGTCAATTGCAATCATTTTTTGTCATTACAATTACCCCCGAAATCCTACTCGCTTTCTAGAAAAAAATTCGAGAAGGTGTGAAATTTTTGGACGGAAAAAATAATGTCAAATCATTTTGAAAAAAGTGTTTGATTAATTATATTAAAGAGTATCAAGACCAAGTATAAAGCAAATTCGACAACGAACAAAATATGTCCCATACAAACGTTGCAGAGCCCCCTTCACAGAGTTAGAATTTTTTAAAATGCCAAAATAGGTGTTTAATTATGTCAAAGAGCATTAAGACCAAGTTTCAAGTTAAATCTGATCACAAATAAAATATTCCTCATAATTAAGAGAGCATTGATTACCCCCTTCCACCCCCTTAGGTGTTGAATTTTGGAATATCCTTTCTCATTCCTTGTATACATCATAAAGGAAACCTATGTGCAAAATTTGAGCTTTTTATGTCCAAAAACTTAGCCTGGGGGTTGATGAGTAAGTGACTCAGGCCTTTCATTTTACATATATGTATAAATATATAGATTTAGTAACTCTTTGGAATGGGAAATATCTTATTCAAGATGTCTGCTGGTAAGGACAAAGTCTCTTGACAATACATGAGGACAAAAATAAAAAAACGATGAAAACAGAAACTGACGGTCAATGCGAAAAAAAATATTCAGAAAGAGAGGAAAAATGGACGAACGCAAGATGGAACAGATGGTAGATAAAATTATTCAAATACCAAGGAAAATGAAGCTCTTTAACAGTCTTGGAGGCATCGAATTGTATGGAGCGGAAAGGCAAGGTGGAAAGATTGCAGGACAAAATTTATGAGATGGACGTTAGGGTTGATTTAGAGAACCCAGGGCCACGCGGTGAAAAGAGGGAAAAGGGAATAAGATGAGGACGAAAACTGGGGGGGGAAAATACGAGGAGATGCTGGTAAATTGGTGGAAAACGTGCAGGGGAAAAATTAGTGAAAGAAAGAGAATACAACAGGCTAGGAGCAGGTAAAAAGTGTAACTGTAACTGTAAAACAATGTAAAATATCGATCGGTAGAATAAACAACAAAATTAAGACTCATACTCGACAGTATGTATTTTCTATTTTATGAAAAATATGAGAATCTAGGGGAAAAATTAGTGAAAGAAAGAGAATACAACAGAATTGGAGCAAGTAGAAAGTCTAACTCTAAAATGTAAAATATCGATGGTAGAATAAACAACAAAATTAAGACTCACATTCGACAGTATGTATTTTCTATTTTATGAAAAATATGAGAATCTAGGGGAAAAATTAGTGAAAGAAAGAAAATACAACAGGATGGGAGCACGTAGAAAGTCTAACTCTAAAATGTAAAATATCGATGGTAGAATAAACAAAATATTAAGACTCATACTCGATAGTATGTATTTTCTATTTTCTACAAAAATATGCGAATCTAGGTTTTTGGGATCGTGTTGCGTAAATTGCTTAAATATGATTGTATTCGTAAGCTGTTGAGTATGCTGCTCGACCAAAACAAACGCCTTGGACTGCAACTCGTACACGTTTTGCAATCCAGTGATGTGTGGTGCAACATATACAAAGTGATTCTGAAATAACTGGTTGAATTCTGTAATTTTTTCCAGTGTACAAATCGAATGATCAAAGTACTATTCAATTTCTGGAAACTCGACTGTATTTCTTCGTTTCTGTCGATCTTGCCTGCCATCGTAAAGCAGGAACCTACTCTTCCTAAAGATGTCGACCCAATAACTTGGCTATCCAATCAACATCTCCCTATATAACTGGGATCAATTTCGTTTTTTTATCTTTAAAAAAATGGGGGGGGCGAGCTCGTTTCGTAACTCACGCTGTTGACTAAACTTTCCCCCTCGACACACACGCGTGTGTTACAGTCGGGCAAATTTTATTCACGAATAACGAATAACGAATAAAAATGGTGGATTCTCTCGTAAACTAGTTTTTTTTTTGCCAGGGGGCTTTGCTCATCTGAATATTGGTTCGAAAAGTACCTCGGTAGATTCTAATTTATAAACGAAATTAGTTTAGGAATCGATCCCGGTATCTGTGTTCGTTAAAAAATTTGACCAACTCTGATCTATGGTATCGCATAATTCAACGAACGTTTTTCGTTGCTGCGGAATCGTGGGTTCGAGGAGGTGAGATCAAAGTGCACATTTTTCTTTCTCGTGAAATATTTCTGGAACGGTGAAAAATATCGAGAAAAGTGTTCATAACAGTTGAATCCATTTTTGTTTTTTTATGTACAAAACTACGTAGCAATTATTGAAAAATGAATGCTCTGCACTTTCTACCATTACAGTTGAATTTGTGTAAAAATGTATAGTATGTAATTAATAATCTTGCAGAAGAGAAAATTAATTAAATGATGAAGACTGTTAGAAAATGTTGGAAAAACATTTTTTTATAAATATGACGTGGGAAATAATTAAAGTTTTCCTGATCTGTACTATGGTATCGCACTTTTCCTTTATATTATTTGCTTCAATTTCTCTCGTTTCCCTCGCTTTTCTTCAGCCAATTGTCATCTTTTTTTTCTGCGTTAAATATTCTTTTTTCAATTAGCTTCGACTTCGTGACTTTTCCGGGCCATTTTCCTCTCTTCTTAATTTCAGTTATTTTTCTCCATTAACAGACAAAACAAAGGCTAAACGAATATCTTTTCATCTAATTTTAGACTCCAACAGGGAAAAATTACAGGTAAGAAAAAGTCGTTGTTGATTCGCGGTTGGAAAGTCGATAATGTAAATATTTTAGAAACTACTATGAACGGAAAAAATTTTAGAACTACTAATATTAATTCACGCCTAATAGTGTATCTATACAGGGCTTTTCAAATTTTAGATTCGTTAATTAAAAAAGATTAACACGAAGAACTACTGAATTTTTTTCTCGAAAGTGGGTAGGAATTCGAGAGTATGTCTACTCACCAAAAATGATTGTAATTGACCCTCGAAACAGAAAATAATTTTTTCAAAATGATTTGAAATTTTTTAATTTTGTCGAAAAATTTCATACCTTCTCGAATTTTTTTCTCGAAAGTGAGTAGAATTTCGAGGGTATGTGTATTGACAAAAAGTGATTGTAATTGATCCCCACAATCAAAATTAATTTTTTTAGAACGATTTGAAATTTTTTAATCTTGTCGAAAAAGATCACACCTTCTCGAATTTTTTTCTCGAAAGTGAGTAGGATTTCGGGGGTATGTCTACTCACCAAAAATGATTGCAATTGACCACTGTAACTAAATATAATTTTTTTAGAACGATTTGAAATTTTTTAATTTTGTCGAAAAATTTCATACCTTCTCGAATTTTTTTCTCGAAAGTGAGTAGAATTTCGAGAGTATGTCTAATAACAAAAAATGATTGTAATTGACCCCCGCAACAGAAAATAATTTTTCCAGAACGATTTGAAAAATTTTTTTTTCGCCAAAAAATTTCACACCTTCTCGAATTTTTTTCTCGAAAGTGGGCAGAATATCGAGGGTATGTGTATTCACCAAAAATGATTGAAATTGACCCTCGCAACCAAAAATAATTTTTTTAGAACGATTTGAAATTTTTTAATTTTGGTGAAGAATTTCATATCTTCTTGAATTTTTTTCTCGAAAGTGAGTAGGATTTCGAGGGTATGTGTAATGACCAAACCTGATTGCAATTGACCCCTGAAATCGAAAATAATTTTTCCAGAGTGATTTGAAACTTTTCAATTTTGCCGAAATATTTAGGCACCTACCCCCTGTCGATTTTCCTTAAAAATTCGTTTCTGATTTTTAGTAGTTTTGTTTGACGTCCTACAGAAAAGTAGTCTAATACTTTTTTGTAGGTACCCATGGGCTCTAGTTCAGAAAAAAGTTTCATATAAATATATTCACTATTGTAGAAGATATAGCTGTTTGAAAATTGGACCACTTTTATAGGGTTTTTCTCATTTTATGAGGTTGAGGAGCAACTTTTTCAATATTATAAGTTACGAAAATCAAGTTTAGGTCTCGTAAACAGAATCTCTGAATTTTAGTCTTACAAAGAAGCAGTTAAATTTAAATTTTCATGGCTATTTACACCACGCGATGGGATCGCGAAAAATATGAACAAAATGGAGATTCTGAGATCTCTGACTCTTCCAATGGTGGTTGCTACGTACACGTTCCCTTTTTCACCGTCACCCTGTATAACGTACGAGCACCTTGAGAGACAATATGTTTGTTTTGTAATTGAGCGTGTCCCTCGACGTGCAATAAATATATCGACGGAAATATGCGCGCTATTCAACACCCACCGCGTGGCCAGCGTGGATCGCGCAAAAATTCGTGAGACTCTGATTCATACCGTGTGGGACACAGAACACGGTGACGAAGAAACACCGATCGACGGAAGAATGCGAGGACCAGGGACGAAGACGATGTCGACGATGAACGACGACGATCACGATCACGATGACTACCAACGGCGAGGAAAACGACGCGCGATCGTCCGACGATCGAAGACGTGGTCCACGATTGGCTATCCGCCATCGGGTGGAGGGGTTACGGGAAAGAACGTTTCGGGTAGGGGTTGTTGAATGAGTAGCGGGACGACCGACGTCGCGACGCACTCCGTCACAGCCACCCTGACGGGGAACGGATGTCCGAGTGCTCCGTAGCCAGCGACTCGAACTGAAAACGTGCGCCCGAGTTTCTACGAGGAACCAAAAGGACGACGAAACGAACGGTCGTGTGTGTTTCGACGGTGAGTCTTTTTTTTTCTTTCAAACCATTGATAACAAAAAAAGAAATAATAATCGACGGTGAAAAACGCGAGAGAACTGATATTCTTAGAATTACGATTACTTGTTATAACTGGGGGTAATGATCTGTTATTATAGGTCGATATGGTGAAATTTTCTTTGTAACAGATGTATCGATCGACTCAAAATTCAGTGAAATTTTAGAGATAACGATATCCAAAATATTCCGACTTGCTCTTTGAATTACATCTCTATAATTGATGGTAATAATTTAGGTCGATATGGTGAAATTTTCTTTGTATCGGTAATATATCGGTCGACTCAAAATTCAGTGATATTTTATAGACAATATCCAAAATATACTGATTTGCTTTTTGAATTACATTTCTGAGTTATTTCAAATAATCTATCACTTTGATACGTGCTCCACAGCTCTCTGATAAGTCAACTTAGTAAGAATTGCAAAGTCCATCAAAGAAAAAATTATGAGCAAACGTGATATCGAATTTTACTCCATTGATGAATAAAAAAAAGAATAATCGACGGTGAAAAACGTGAAAGAACTGATTTCTTTCAACGCTAGAGCTACCGAGAATTATAGTGTATTTATTAGATACTCGAAGAAATGTATAATGGAATAGAAATAAATCTTATAGATAGTTACGTTAAATTTTCAAAGATCCAGTCGAGTAAATTTCTTACAATTTTGATCAGAAATTACAAATTAATTAATTTGACCGCTAGAATCCCCCATTAAAATTTTTCCTAGGGGTAGTCGAACACCATTTGTACACCATTTGATTCTGAACTTAGGTGAATCCACGTGAAAAGATCAATCGAAAATTGAAAAGTAATACTTTTTTGTACTAGCATAAAAATATTATTAAATACACGTGCACTTTAGCGTGCTATGAACAATATACTTTTTATTGCTCTTGTAAATATTTGTAATGTTGAAAATCATTTCTAAAAATGTTTATATTACGATACGAGATAATTCTCCCTTTTAGTGATTTTTCTCAATTTCGATTGATTTCTTCTTTTTTTTTTAAGTTTTATTTTATCAGATAAAATAATTGCTGGAATATTTTCGTTTCTGTTCTAAGCAGCTCCCTTTGATCTAAACCAATTTATCGAGAGGCAAGGTGCAATTGAAAAAGAAACAGTAAAAGGCAGGATCCCGGTGATTTTGAAAAAAATAAAATACTATCGAATCGATGGTAGGGTTCACGACAAAGGGAAGTGGATTAATAAAGAAAATTGAAGTGAACTGAATCGGTTAGATTTTAATCCCGACCTCTTCGGTTAGATGGTTTTACATCACAATGAAAATTAAAAATAAAACTGCATCGTTCCACATACAATCCAATCATTTAACTACAAAATAATTACGAAATAATCACATTTTTTAATCTGAAGTCTTTCTTTTAAAAAAGTAACAAAAGATACATTACCTTACCAAGCTCCCTTGATGAATTTTTTATTTTATTAATAATGAGCTTTTGGAATCTTGGAAACCATTTCTTTTTAAAATCAAAACACATTTAATATAGATTCACGCATCGTTAAATTCTAAAAGCACATTGTATGTATAATGTATTACATAATATGTGCATAATTTGTGGAATATCAATATTTATAATTCTAATATAAAATAACTTTTCCAAAACAATTTGAAATTCTCTTTTTTCGTCGAAATATTTAGGCACCTAATTAGATTTTTGGTAAGGAATTTTTTTCTCGAAAGTAGATAGGAATTCGGGGGTATGTGTATCCACCAAAAATGATTGTAATTGACCCCCGCAACAGAAAATAATTTTTCCAGAACGATTTGAAAAATTTTTTTCCGTCAAAAAATTTCACACCTTCTCGAATTTTTTTCTCAAAAGTGGGTAGGATTTCGAAGGTATGTCTATTCACCAAAAATGATTGTAATTGACCCCCGCAGCCGTAAATAATTTTTCTGGAACGATTTGAAAAATTTTTTTTTCGCCAAAAAAATTCGCTTTCTCGAATTTTTCTCTAGAAAATGGGTAGGATTTCGGGGTTATGTATAATGACCAAAAATGATTGTAATTGACCCCCGCAAACGAAAATAATTTTTCCAGAACGATCTGAAATTTTTTTTCCCGTCGAAAAATTTCACACCTTCTCGAATTTTTTTCTCGAAAATGGATAGGATTTCGGAGTTATGTGTAATGACCAAAAATGATTGTAATTGACCCCCACAACCGAAAATAATTTTTCCAGAACGATTTGAAATTTTTTTTTCCGTCGAAAATTTTCATACCTTCTCGAATTTTTTTCTCGAAAGTGGATAGGATTTCGAAGGTATTTGTATTCACAAAAAATGATTGCAATTGACCCCCGCAAACGAAAATAATTTTTCCAGAACGATTTGAAATTTTTTTTCGCGTCGAAAAATTTCACACCTTCTCGAATTTTTTTCTCGAAAATGGATAGGATTTCGGGGTTATGTGTAATGACCAAAAATGATTGAATTTGACCCCCGTAATCGAAAATAATTTTTCCAGAATGATTTGAGATTTTTGAATTTAATTGTTGATAACCTTTTAAGGAAGCCTCCATCAACAAATTGGTATTCTTGATTTTCGTATTATTTTGGCCTCTAGAATCTCCCAAATTTTCCCTAGAGGTGGCTGGACACCCTCTATAATAATATCGTGAACACACTCGAACTAGATCTCCTCGATATTCCTAAATAAGACATTTCAGAGTAGTTGCCTATCGACATAGCGGAAATTACAAAATTGAACGTTCCATATAATAGCAGTAATGATCAATTTCCCTCTGCTATTAACGCAAACCTGGCATTTACCCACAACCTCCATTAACAATGCAAAAGAGTTAAGTATTTTCTTCAGAGATCGAGAATAATTAATAATAAAATAAAAGAAACTTCATAAGACACAATTATTGACTCCCTAAACGACAGAATTAATTTTTCTACTCGTACATTAATTGTTCAACCCTTAATTTGTATCCTAGAACGTCTTGACGCTCCAAGAATTATATTTATCTTATTTACAACTAATATTGTTCTCCATTATTTTATGTAACCAAATACATAAATGAGACTGTTATTATACTCAAGTATAGTTGTCGGTATTATGATACTAGTTTCGCCTTGAAAATACACGGTGCCAATTAAGGGTGGAATTGAACCTATTAACGGATACGCGTCAAACGTTAGCCTTAATTAACGTTCTAAAACGATGATTTTACGAACCCCTTCAATCTTCAAAACGAGATACTTCAAAAAGTAAATTGAATTTTTTAACTAGAATTAATGAACATCTTTTAGGAATTAAACAGTGTGTATAAAATTATTATATCTTCAATATATTTGGTCCATCTTGAAAGTAAAGGGTACAGGGGGTCAAATGTGCCCTTGAACCAAATTTTACATACTATGGATCCATCATAGTATCACAGTATCAGAAAAAACCATTCTGTGCCAAATTTCAACCCTCTATCTTGTTCGTAAGGGTAGTTATAGGTTTTTAATTTTTCACACCCAGAATTTGGAATTAAAAAATCGGAAAAAATTCTCAAACACGTATCTCGATAACCACGATGCACCAGATTTTTTTAATAATTTTCGTACTCGATTAAATAGGGGAAATCGCCCATAAGAAATTAATTAATTATTTCGTAAAAATTCCAATTTCGACAAAGTTTGATGAAACTGAAACTATGTAAAAAAATTTTTACCAGGACGTTTGACGTTACAACAGTCAATTTACATACAACTGTTCAGAAATTACTACTCCAGAAAGCCCACGTAGTTTCTAATTAGAACAATATATTCCACGCGACCAGAAAATAAATAGGCTTTGCCGCGCGCACAGAACTTTTGTCATATGGGACATATCCTGTTCTTTTTTTCTGTCTCCATTGTCGATCCAAATAATACTTGCACGCCCTTGTTAGACATTGTACGTACTGTTGAATTTATTCAAACGGCAATTACCGTAAAAATGCGGAGAACGCGAATCCTACATAACCAGAAATGTATATTTTCTCCCTGGCTTGCGTTGCAATAATAGTCTAAAATGAAATTAAAAGCGTCGACATTAACCATTTCAGTCCATTGTGTGTATTTTAGGTGAAAATATTTTTTAAATATTTTAAATTGATTTTCGTTGTTCAAATTATAGTTGATAATTGAAAAAAAATGTGATTGATAAAATAAAAAAAGGTGTGCTTTAAACGGGGCGCGAACCAGCGTCAAAAAATGCACAGCGTATCCAAAATCAAGCCTCTTATTCACTGCGCCATTGCAACTCTTGGGAATATTACTAAAAAATTTAAATATAACGCGCATAGCACTTTTAATTTGGTGATTTATTTTTCTTTCCTATTCTATACACTGTTCTACTCAACATAGAATTGTTTAAAACCATAGAATATAAAAATTCACGCGAAAATCTCCGAAAATATCGGTTTTTGATTTTTGCTACTACGACGCACCCTGCCAAAAAATCTGAAAAAATTCAGGGACATAACCAATGACAATATGCATTTACAGTAATTATATAAATCCAGAATCTCGAAAGCTTCAATGCGAAATCGGTATTTTTCTGAGTTCTTGATTTTTCACACCCAGGATTTGGAATCGAAAAATCGGAAAAAATTCTCAAACACGTATCTCGATAACCACAATGCACCAGATTTTTTTCATAATTTTCGAACTAGATTAAATAGGGGAAACAGACAAATTCCGAATCTTCCCAATAACAACCCTTCCGAAGAAGATGGAGGGTTGAAATTTGGCACAGAATTTTTTTTTCTGATGCTCTATCAAGGGCACATTTGACCCCCTTATTCGGCTATACCCTTTATAACAATTTTATTTGCAATGCGAGTAATGGTGCAAAAGTATGGAAACACAAAATATAGAAAATAATAAAATCTTGGTTCAGCAACCCGCGATCGATCAGCGTTCTTCAGATTGTTCGCACGCTATTTTCATTGTCAAAGAATGACAATATCTATTTCTATCGCAGCCTGATTCCGCGATCACTAAAATTAGCAAGTATGCGAATATCGTCGTGCTAAATTTAGCACAGAATGTTGTATGAATAGGCGTACCCATTGCAGAAAATTCTCGAGAACGTAAACAATATGTCTGTCGCCAAACAACGAATTTTCAAGCAGTCTAATAATCGTCATCGAGTCAGCAGTCAACAAACGATCAATTATATTTTTATTTCAATTTTTCATCGATTCGATCTCTCTTTATTCTCTGCGAAAAAGAAGAAAAAAGGTATTAGATAAATTAGAATTTTACGCTTTTCAGAATCGAAGGACAGAAAGGGAACACCGCGCCGCTGTATCGAAACTACGAATCGTTTCACGGAAGTGGAAACGTAGAACGAACACGAAATCGAACGAGAAGTTATTCGAATGATAATCGCAGAAAAAATGTTATTTGCAACCGTCGTTTTAGCCGCCATCTTCGCGTCCTGTCAATGTATACCACTGATCGCTTCGAGAAATACATTGGAACAGGACGCGTTGGATGCTGTAATCGCGTCTGGGTGTTCGCCCAATGGAGGCTGTTGGGAATGGCTACCGGTACGAGAAGCTCGTGAAAATATCGCTACTTTGCCAGAAGACATTCCACTACCGAAGTACTTACTGTTTTCAGTCGATTTTGTCCTTCACGACATCGTAAAGTAACACTTTTACGATTTTCAGAATGCAAATGCGACGAGAGGCATTGCACGGGGATCCAAACGCAATAATAGAATCATGGAACGATGACGATCCAACGGTAGATAAGAGAGTTCGGTCATTGTCAACGATTGCCAAAAAAATTGAAAATGGAACGTCGAAGAAGGATGTACTTACGTCTCGTAGCAGGGGAGCTGTTGGAATGCCCTTTTCTGTTTTATATATGAATCAACACAGTCATCGGGGTAATTATAACAGTAAAAAGATATCGAAATCGTTAAAGAGCTACAACAGATAAACGTGCGTACTGTTTAAGGCACTGCACAACAGCAACAACAGGTGGCGAAAACGACGGAGACTTCAGCGCCATCTGCGGGTCACCCTAACTATCGAATCGCGATACGCAATGGTGCACCTTCCCAGCCAAGAAGACAATACTCAATAATACCACAGTTATTTATATCGTATGGATGGGGCCCATTTGGAAAATGAAGAGAACCGACTACTTGGAACATTACAATATAAATATCGATCTCATAATTTCGGTGCACAAAGCACCCGTTGAAATTCCGAGTTTCATACTTTAAAACAGTGACATACTCCGATAAAATCTCTATTCGCATAAAATATACTCGTTAATATAAATTGCACCATAAAACGATTCTTTTTTTCTTCTTTCGAATTGTTCACTGTTCTAACATTTTGTAAATATTATTTAAATCATTTTAGTCTAGTTAATATCGTTAATGAGGAATGACTATGCTTAAATTTAATTTTTTAGAATAAAACAGAATTAATTTATATTATTTTTCGACTCACCGTTCATTTCTTTCATGGCTTTGATGAAGTCCTGAGGATCCTTGAACGATACGAATCCGAATCCTTTCGTTTTATTTGTTCGTTTATCCCTGACTACTTTGGCTCTTTGGAAACTTGGATATTTACCAAACACTCTCACCAACATTTCGTCCGTGACGTCGTTCCCTAAGTCCCCGCAAAATATTCGGAAATCATCTGCACAAAGAAAATTGTACAATATGTTTAAAATGAAATAAAACTTCTAAATAATATAAATATAACTAAATTAATAACCTTCGTCCCACTCCAATAGAGAAGGATCCTCCCATATCTGTCCGCCAGCCATTCGTACGATTTTCTTATTTTTCTTTCCTTTGCCCTTTGGATGAGTTTCTTCTGCACTGGCATTTGCCATTATGGAACTAGCCTTTCCTTGACTAATTGCCAATTCTGCAGCTGTGCTAACACCTTTCACCTTTGGCTTCTTTTTGCTGTCATCCTCGGGGATCTTTGTATTGATAATCTGTTCAATAATTTCTGGATGAATCATCGGTGTAGACGCAGATTCGTATGTTTTCGGAGTAGCGGTTAAACACGTGTCCACCATGTTTGGTAAATACGGATTACTTATCTGAGCGGGCGACGAATATGTTGTAATAGAGGAAACCGTACCTGTAATAGATAATAGTTGTTTGTAACGAATACATCGCAATTAAATATAGCTTTCGCATAATAATTTTTAATAATTACCTTGTCTTGATACTTGCTGTGGTATTAACATTGGTGGTGGAGGAGGTGGTGGTGGTGGTGGTGGGGGCGGTGGAGGTGGAAATCCTATCATCGGAGGAAAAGCTAACGTAGCTGCGGCAGCAGCAACGACAGGCGTTGGAAGCTCATGTTGCTCCAATTGTCTAGCTACCTGATTATACGTATTTGCACCGATTACAGGCCTCACCATTGGCGTGACTAATTGACTGCCAATTTCGGCCTCGAATCTAAAAAATGATTTAATCTTAGAATTAATTAAAATTGCTCACGTTTCACAGACATGTGTTCGATAATACGATTACACGATAAAATGTATTATGTGCTGATAGAAAAACATGCATAAATTTAAAAGTATTAATGAAATAAAAAGTCCGTAGAGGTTAGAATATTTATGTGGTTTGTAACCATGCAATACCTGTTCATTTCATCTTCCATTTGGCGTAGTTTTTCCTCCATTTTGATGTTTTTATTATTTTACTACTTTTTCAATAAGTATACGTTTATTATTTAATAAATTGTCACAGGACGCAACTTTCAGAATGCATTAGCATGAACTACCGGATTAACTATGTGTACCAAACTATATTACTAATTCTTAAGTCTGAAGTTGGTAAAGGATTGTTCAGAGCTACCAACATAGATTACTTAAAAGCAATTTTATATTCAGTTTTGGATTTATTTATTGTAATAATTACAAAATGCGCAACTTAATTTTTATCTTAGGAATGTACGAGTGGCAATATATTAAGCAATTTACGAAATACATTGTAAAATCTTTATGAAAGAGAAATTCTACAGTTTACCATATTGTCAAGGTATGAAACTTGCAACAAACTTCGTACATGTTGAACAGTACAAAGTACAATCCAGTATAGTCAATATGACTATGTACAAAACTGTTATTTTTCTACTTTTGATTATTGTCAACGTCTCAAATAAATATGTAACTGCTGAAAATGACGAGGACATATCAACGGAACTATACGTGATCGAGGGAAAAGTTTTTCCATGGGAAAATGGTCCTTCGAATGGATGGCAGCTTATGACACACGTCATGGCTAACGGTGGAGAACATTATGGTTTCTTAAGGTAAATTTACGTTAAAAATTGCCAATTGTTACAAATGTAACAATTACTTATATGCAACAAGCTATTATCATTATAATCAAATACTGAAATTATGGAAAATAACTTTTGATTAAATTTTATACAGGTTAGAATTCTTATGAATATTTTAATAAGTTGTATAGTTTGGTAGAAGTAACGAAAAACCAGAAAATATTGGGAGTCTCGGTATTTTCGGAAATTCCGTACATTTTCCAGATCCTAACGCCCCACACGCCCCTTTTATAAATAATAATAATTTATAAAATATTATTTTATTTGGATAATTGTTATTTTCAATTAAAATAATATTAAGTCTTTGTCACTTTCAGGGAGGATGGAACATTTGTTATTTCAAATGTGCCATCTGGATCATATGTAATTGAAATTGTAAATCCAAATTCTGTGTATGAACCAGTAAGAGTAGAAATTAACTCAAAAGGGAAATTCAGAGCACGAAAAGTGAATTTAATTCAAACATCGCAAGTAATACAGGTTCCATACCCATTAAAAATGAGACCACTTACACCATTCCGTTATTTCCAAGTTAGAGAACAATGGAAAGTGATGGACTTTTTGTTTACCCCTATGGTATAGAAATTATTTTATTGTTTTATAAAAACTTAACAAAAAATACAATTACTATTGTCACTTTTTTTCTATTTTGTAACAGGTTCTAATGATGATTCTACCAGTATTATTACTTATGATTATTCCAAAAATTATGAATAATCCTGAAACTAGAAAGGTTAGTAAATAACATAAATACCATAATTATTTAAAATTTATTGATTACATTTATTACTTGTATCTATTGTGTTTTATTCTTTTAGGAAATGGAACAATTTAACAATCTAACTAATTACAACTTACCAGAAATGTCAGAAGTTATAGCAACATTTTTATCTGGAGGGGAGAAACAAAAAACCAAAGCAGTGAAGGCTACAAAAAAAAGGCAGTGATCTAAAACACATTTCCACTTTTACTCTAGTCCTTTAATTCTTAACTACACTTTAGAAAAAAGAAACATCAAACTTTTCTCAACAAAATTTAAACAAATTTTCATATAGTTTTATTACATTCGAAAGATTAAAAAAAGTAGCAGTAAATCACTTAAAGTATTATTTAATACATAATTAAATATAATCCACTGAAATCATGTAAACCTAGCTTTCTATTATTTATGTAACAGAAATATTTTACCGGTAGCTGTTATGGAAAAAATAAATTTTATGCAAACATAAAAATAATGTACAATTTGAACGATAATAAACTTTTTATTGAATGAACATTATCCTGTCCGCTCCCTTCGTTTCCCGCTGACAATTTATATTATTGACGTCAGTGTCTTTATTGGCAAAAGTTATTGGCACACCTGACCTTATTAAGAAGACTAACCTTACCACAGGAGTTTCAAAACCTGTATATACGACCTAGCTGATACTGCTAACCTGTCATGGTTACGTCTGTAGCGTCGCGCGGTTCCCTTGACAATGAAGGCGCACGAGGAGCAGCGATGGACATGCGCACTAGAATTTTCCTTTTTACGCATGCGTTAGCTTTCTGTCGTAGATGTATCTTTAGCGCAAAAAGAGGTGCATGTTGGGAATCGAGGATCCTCTGTATTAACAAACACACTACCAACTGCCATACACCATATATGAACACATGCACGCTAACTATTAAGATAAATACACACAAAATTCACAAATACCATATGTCACACATCGCACGTAACCACATGCGCCATGCAAATTTATACATTTGTAAAAATACCAACTTAAATAAGTATAAATTTTTATTAATATAAATTACTTACATATTAATCTATATACATATAATAAATGTTTGAATAAATATATTAGATAATTATTACACACACATATCACAGATTTCTTTATCCATTCAAATAATTCAAATTTCTACTAGTAATCAATTGTTTAAATTTAAATTTCTAACTTGTATCATACGTTCCCTAGCTGCTTTAAACTGTTCAAAAATATTTTCTATGTTAGTCATTAGCTTGTCAGTACTCAATTTCTCAAAATAATCTAACTGATCATAATTCTGAATAGAAGTATGAGTCTGATAAATGATATTCATTTTTAATTTAATGTAACCACTTGTTGTAACTTTTAGTTGAGATTTATTTAGTATTTTACCTTCGTGCCCTGTAGGGATACTACAATAGGTAACATCTTCTAGTTCATAAGTGCCACCTGTAAAAAATCTCCTGAGAGAATTAACAATGCTTCCTGTTGGCCGCCACATGGGGACATTGAATTCATATGATCCAGGTACTGCAGGCAAAGGTAGAGCTGCATAACCTTCTGTACGACATCTAAAATAATTTAGCATATTCTTTCCATTGCATATCATTAATTAATATATAAATTAAATAATGATACCTGTACCAATTATCAAGAGATATAACTGACAGTAATAGTCTAGGCCAGTATGGTGAAATTTTCTTTGTATCAGATACATCAGTTGACTCAAAATTCAATGATATTTCTGCAGCATATCCAAAATATGCTGACTTGTTCTTTAAATTACATCTCTGAGTTCTTCCGAATAATTTATCATTTTGATCTGTGCTCCAGTGCTTTGGTAGGTCAATGTAGTAAGAAATGCAAAGACCATCAAAGAAAAAATTATGAGCAGACATAATATCGAATTTAAAAAAAATTTTATACACATTCAGTGGCGTTAGCTGAAAGCTGTGAAATATTTCTGCCTCCTTGTATACAAGTTGCTCTCCGATTTCCTATATCATAAAATATATTGTTATATTTAATGTACGTTTGTAATAGATTTGATGTTTAATAAATGTGGTATTTTTAAAAATAATTAAAGTTTAAGGATTGTTTAATTGTGGTAACACTTCGAGTGTCACGTAATACGCGGGTATGATGAGTTTAAATGACAGCATTACACTTCTTACTACAGAAACGTGTAACAGTATATGCATGTGTGTGCGTATACGTATATGTATACATATACGCAACCGACGGTACAAGCGAGGAAGACAGTATCAAGCAGTTGTTCTCTGCCATCAGTTGGTCTTGGAAACCACACTGGTCAACTTGATACAATCTTGATGACATTTTTAAATAATCCGCGAAGCTTTTATAATTCTCCTCGTGTGTAACAAAATGATCGACAATAAACTGCTAAATATGGAAATATGCATGTTTCCCAAGTGTATCTTGACAAAGTGCAAAATAAAACAACTAAAATCGATTTAGTGTAAACATCTTCAATGATGAAAAAATTGTCAGTGATACAGTTCTGGTAAATTTAAGAAACATGTTTTACCCGCAACGAGTGATGAGGCAGATCTCTGAAATCTCTTATGTAGGGTACGTATGTAAACTTTTCGCGTCTAAAATAACATAATAAAACTAAACGGTTTTTCCGTAACATTGGTTGAATGTCATTTAAATCCGTAACTAAAATTTATCCGTGGATTTGAATACGTTTAAACGGTTGACGAAAATGCGCGAATTCTTGAATTTAAACGTATTCGAAATATACTTAATGATTTCCATTTGACCGCAAGAAACGTATATAAATGAACTTAACGATTAACGCAAATAAGTATTTCGTGTATAACTCACGCGTTGCAGTTCGTTTTGTTGTTGTTGCAATTCCAATGACGACCGTTTCTCGGAAACATGCTCGATCCAATAATTAAATTCAACACCACTGGAATTCGCTATAGTATAACAGTAGTTGTTCGTAAAGTCGGGATTGACAGACAAAATTTTGTGCAGCTCGTCGTACGTAACAACACATAACACTGTTTCGGAATCCTTGTCGGCACTAGTTAAGGTTTTATCTCGTCGAGATAAATCAACCATGACACACATCGTGGAACGTTCCGTGTAAAGGTAATGGTTCGTTCGAATCCTAATTTCGCTTGGTTTATCATCCACGACTGTTTTGTTGTACCTTTCCGGGAACGGTTTGCGATTTTGCAAGGTCGGTAATGCAGTTTCGTTTCTCAACGCCAATTCCGTTTTATAGGGTTTCGTCAATAGATCGTTATCCGAATAATAGGAGTCCGTTTCCGTGTAACTGTACAGCCGACAGCCTTGAATATTTTCCTCGTTAATTCGCCGGCAATATATTTTCCGATGCTCGGTCAAGCAGTTCTTCTCGTCTCTGTAAAAATTTGCTTCGAACGTGCCGAATACTTTTTCCTGCCAGCCAAAAATACGATCCTCTTCTTCGAGAAAATTCGCGTCTCTGGTATCACCTTCGGTCTCGAGGAGTTCCGCGAGCAAAGGTCTTTGCTGTACGATTCTGACTCTGAAACAATAAACAAACGTAAGGTAAATACAATTTAGAAGGTGGAAACAATTTCTGCCAGATGGCCGGGATCTAATTTCGATCGACACGTTCGCCGGCGAACTGCGGGGCAGAAAAAAAACACAGCGGCCCGTTGTTTTGCTGCCACGTTTGTTTCGGCGACTAAACTTAGTCGTGTACGAGTGATACGCGGGAGCAATAACACAAGGGCAACAACTTTCTCGAAATAAGTAAATTTTTGTTACAATCTTGCGAGAAAAAACATGCATCACCTCAATTTAAAGTTACTTATAGGTTCTTGAACTCTATAATTTACAGCTATCTTTTTGTTGCGTATTCTGTTTGACATTTCTTTTCCCATCGAACAAAGAAATTACGAATCGAAACTAAATGCATGTGTACACCGACTTTGACGACCAACTGATCCGAACGTATCGTCTGCAATCCTAAAATAATGCATTGTTTATCGATTTTCTTGTTGCTTGGTAACCGGCGGCGCACATCACGTACACGTACTATACAGAGACGAGTTGTTAGCTAGGCACGCTGATTGGTCGTAGCGTAATAGCGACACCTATCCTCACGCGCATTATCGTTATTGGCTGAGACACTCACAACTACAATTCCATCGCGTGTCGAAGAACGACATTGGCGTAACCGCGTATTCAGGATACTAAATAGAATAAAAATCTTTCCTTATACTTTTTACAGTATCATTATAATTCTTCGTAATAACAAGCTCGAAAGTCACGATATTATAATGAAATGAACATTGAAATTTCAGGTTGTAAACTGCAAATATTTACAGAAAAATTATACGGAATTATATTAAATTGGTACGAAAAGCTTTATGAATCTATAAATTCATTTTTTTCTAAACGCATGTGGATCTCGTAGATCATCTTTATTCGAAATTTTTATTTGAATCAAAAGGCAGTCGACATTGTGTTTTTATTTGTTAAATTGCACGCTGACATCCGCGAAAACTTATTCGCCCAAGTGATATCATAATTATCTCAGATGTCAGAGAACCGAAGAATTTGTGTTTCAGCATGATAACGCGCCTAGTCATACCGCTGACATAGGCAGTCGTTTGAAGAGAAACAAATCAAAATATTGAACCGAGCAGTACATTGACCAGATATCAACGTAATCGAAAATTTATGGAGGCTTCTTGAGAGAAGTGTTTACAAAAGCAATAGACGATTCTCAACAGTTAATAAACTCAAAACTACGGTCGAGGAATCTCAGAAAGAGGCTGATCATTAAAAACGCTGTGCCATAAGATTTCAAACCATACTTTTTAAATTATTTTTTATTGCACTAAAAGGGATTCATATTTTTGTAAAATTACCGCCAATTATCGCTATCCATAAGAACTTGAAAATATGTTGTTCCTGTTAAACAACTTTCTGATTACGTCCTTGAAATTAACTACGGAAATAGAAGTACAAGAGTACGTGGTGTTTTGAATGAAGTATACCTTTTTAAATGTCATCGTTTCTCGAAAGTTTAAACATATAAATAAATTATATTACTATTAATAATACTATATCTTGATGAATTATTTACGTCTTGTCATCATGGGAAAAATTTTGATGCAAGATTCTGGAAGCCAAAATAAGACGAAAATCAAGACTACCAATTTGTCGATTGAAGCTCCATTAAAAAGTTATTAATGTGTAAAGTTCCATCCGTACTGAATTTTTTTCTAAAAAATGGGTAGGATTTCGGGGGTATTTCTATTCACCAAAAATAATTGCAATTGACAAATAAGAAGGCTCGACGAGGTAGAATTTTTGGCCCTACTAGGATCCATATCATTTACTATCAGATTTCGATTGTCGCGTCTTGACCGATAACACTAATCAATTCATGTATCACGTTCTAATTATTGCGTTAATTTGCAATTAGAGATAAACGAATTTATTTTATCGGTGAATTGTACAATGTAACTGGACCTGTTTCAAATATAAATGATTAACGAATATAAACAAATACAACGATAGAACCGGAATACTTTGTCAACAATCGTCAAAGAACGATTGCAACATTCTTCTGCCACACATCCGCAACAGTTTGCGGCACTTTCTATTCGTGCAATGGTTGGTCGTCGAGTTCACCTGTTGCGACGCTGGGCAACCAAGGCGTACAACAGTCTTTTCAAACGTATCCCGTTATACCAGATGATTCAAGCTTTCCGTTGTAATCCAATATTTGTATAGTATGTAATGGGAAATTCTATGCGAGGCTAATCTGAGTCACTGTACCAGCTAGGATTTACGTTCAGTCTGCAGGTATCAAGGACAGTAATACTTCCAAAAGCGCATAAAACATTCCGGTACACAATTCACAACAAACGGATTCAAAAATTTCGATGCATTTTTAATCGAGCATCTCGTTGCTGCGACGGTTTTCTTTATCGATTTCCTGAATAATATATCGGTTTAGATAAGATAATATAGACAGTGTGTGTCATAGAAGAAAAACGTTAAATGATAACTGATCTATTTGCAAGTTAGTCAGAGTAATGATAAATTAGACGTGTTACGTGCATTCACCGAACGTCTCGGAAACAGTTCCCTGATCGATATCCGATTTGCCAATTTATCGAATAACGGTATATTATATTCAAGTTTTTTTAAATTGTTATGTGTATTGTACTTGTTAATTTCGATAAATGCAAATTCTTTTCTAACATTTCTAAGCTTGGATCAGAACAAGTATAGAAAGTACAATAATTTATAAATTGCTTTATGTAATTTTGAAAATTAGTAGCATTAACATATTTAATAAGTTTAACTCATTGTTATGTTTTTACAGAGGTTTCAAACTAATCAGAATGTCGAATAATCAAGACGGAGAGCCTGGGATAACAATACCCTTGCAATATAATAATGCCGTAAGAATCAGTTTCTCATAACCTTTCTGTTTTCCATATACTTCTTTCCATGCTACGTTGACTTTACTATTTTCAGCATTGGAAAGCTATATTCGAAAAGTATGATCTTGACGGCGATGGAAAAATCTCGTATCAAGAGTTGAAAGCTATGATCCACTGTTCTGGTTATTCAAATGATATACCAACAAGAGTTGTCCATATAGTCATGCGTAAAGCGGATTTAGATGATTCTGGATATTTAGATTATCCAGAATTCATAGCCATGGTATGTAAATCCATTTCAGTTATTTACAATATTATTTCTATTATTTTTACAATAGTATTATAAATGACCGGTTTTTTTTTCAGATTCACAGAAAGGATATGCAGGGTGTTTTTGGCCATCTTGTACAGCGATACGTACATACTATGGTACCACAAAGGCCATCCGTTTTGCAATTACGTTCTAGCGATTATACTGATGGACAGTACGAGGAGGAATACTCTTGTAAACCTCCACCTCTAGCAATGATAATAATATCAATATTAGAGATTACCTTATTTTTGTACGATGTGATTACACACAAGGCCCTGTCCGTAGAAGGACCAGCAGCCACATTATTTATTTATAATCCACACAAAAGATACCAAGCATGGAGGTATTTAACGTACATGTTTGTACACGTGGGGTATGTATTTCATTTTACATAATATACTAAATTCAATTAGAATCAATTAAAATCATACAATAAACGAATCAAAAACCTTGTTTTAAACAGTTTCCTCCATCTGGTGGTAAATCTGCTTGTACAGATAATGTTGGGCATTCCACTAGAAATGGTGCACAAATGGTGGAGAGTATTAACCATATACATAGCAGGAGTTGTAGCAGGATCTCTTGGTACGTCTGTGTCGGATCCTAATGTATTTTTGGCAGGTGCATCAGGTGGTGTATATGCGCTAATTACTGCTCATGTAGCTACTATTCTAATGAACTGGTCACAAATGGAGTTTGCCGTTTTGCAACTATTAGTATTTCTTGTCGTGACTTCCGTTGACATTGGTCAGGCAATATGCAACCGTTATGTATTAGGAACAAACGATCAAGTCGGGTATGTTGCTCATTTTGCGGGCGCCATAGCAGGCCTACTTGTGGGTATAAACGTTCTTCGTAATCTCGAAGTGAAAACATGGGAAAAGGTTATATGGTGGACCAGTATTATTACTTATACTGGGCTCATGACAGCTGCCATTTTGTGGAATATTTTATACACATCTTATTACGAATAATCACGTCGTGCTGAATTATCATGCATTTACTTATCGGGATCGTCCTTTCTACTTGAAATAGAATTTAAAGTCCTGCCGCGTTAAACACGCACAATTATGAATTTTACATTCAATAATTAAAGAAATTAAACACGTCCATTTTAATATAGTCCGCATTTGAAATTACATATCCGTCGCTGAATGTATATACATAACTTTTATCCTATAAACGCATTTATTTGAAACGAATATTAATATATTACATACTGTGATACACATTGCCTGTATGTAACATGGAAGAACTGCCTGTTAAAAGGAAGAGTGAGCGAAGGCCTTTCTTTCGTATGCCCTACAAATAAAAATATTATTACTGACTTGCCGTATTACGATAATAATAAAATAAAAAATAGTTTGAGAAGAGTTATATTGTTAGACGAGCGAAAGTTTGAAAAATCGATGCGCGTATTGTACCGGTTTGAACATCTTGACGCACGTTTCAATAATGTTTTATTACTCCTAGCATTTAAGTTGACGATGATAATTTTCACCGTTAAACCATAAAGTACCGTTGGCATAGAAATATTGTTATCGCACGTTTCGATAATTTTTTATGTTATAAGTTACTGCAATTCATTATATCATGTATTTATGTTTCATCATGTCATGTACCTGATTTGCAAATTATTGACGCGTTACTAAACTATTTCGAACGTTATACGTAAGACGCATACAAAACTCGCTATATTCAAACTGAACAAATTTATAACAAAAAAAAGAAACATTTTTAGTTTAGTCGCTGTCGATCGTTTATTTCGATATGTAAACAGAATTAATTCATAAAAAGATATAACCGTTTCGAGAATATATATATTTTTATATATGTATACAAATTAAAGAGTCGAATATTTCTGAAACAGCTAGTGTGTGGACACGTGTTTGTTAAAATTTTGTTTCCTTTTTATAAGCCCTGGTAGCTAGTTATTTGTACCTATAATTCATAAAAATATGTAATTACTTCGAATTTTCACGATTATTCTTTAAAAATTTCTTGGAGCAATTCAAAAAATATTTTAAACGATATACAACTAACTAGGTTTAAAAAGAAATCGTTGTTAAACGAGTAATTTGTAGTAGTTTCAATCCTAGTTTTAATAAAGACAAACGCAATTACAAATTTCGATGTTATCGAGTAATAGAAAATTTCCTGAGAAACTTACTCATACGATCCTTCGCGTACAAGTGTTGCTTATGTATTATTTTGTGTAATGTATATAGGTTTTATTGTAGTAGTGTTAAATAAAACCGTGAAAATGTATAGCGTAGTATTTTGAAGGTCTAAACAGCGATTAAAGTTCACCTACCTACTCTCCAAAGTTGTCACAGTTCTGCAATTACACCGTCTCTCAGATTGACACAGAATTATTTTCACTTTATTATAAATATTTAGAAGATAGGTTGTGGCACTTGACGTGACCGTATTTCATTCACGTCCCTAACATATACGAAGTTTGACAAGTTGATGAGAACGATCAAATTTCACCGACCTGTCTTTAAAGTTGTCACGTTGAGCAGTCCTTCACTCCATTTTATACTTCAAGTTGTCAGCTGGCAGATCACCTGTATGACAGAAGTGATATTAGAACATGCTCTCCACTCGAATAATTACGAGAGCAGTACCGTTGATACTTAACTTAAAATAATTGTTAACTCGATACAGCAACGAAAACGTTTGCTCGTATTATCTGTATATTTTGCACGCGTCTTTAAATATAAAACAGAATTAAAGTAAATTGTAAATGACTCTCGCTTTAAATAGATACATTGTCCACGACAGAATACAGATAGTTGAAATATTCGTCAGTGTACGAGGGGGGGGAAGAGTATGTGCGCGCGCATATGTAGTAATTTCGTCCAACAAATAGTTTCGATCTTAACAACAAGCATTAGTATGACAGGTATGACTATTCGTAAATCACGTTATTTATACTATGTATATTTTCTCAGTCCTGTGTTTTTTTATATTTATCAGTAACAAAAGTGACATCGTTGGGTTGCACTCCAACGATCGACTGTACAATAAAACCACCGTCTCGTTACTTCGTCAAAGCATCGTGTACGCTCTGCACATCCGCGCTGAAGGCGTGAATCAGAGTTAATAAGCAAGAAGAGGAGGAGGGGGTAGGAGCGGGGTTATCGTTATTATAACGGAGGTGATTTTTATTTCAACAAAAATAACAATTTACATTGAACTGTTTTGATAATAATATTATCGTGTATGCTACACCTGTAGTTTAATGTAGGCGTGGTATGCTCTCGCTCGCTATTAATTGTAGTTAATTTATCTGAATTAAATCGCATTAATAGCGGGTTCGTAGGTAATATCGCTTCTTAGCATTTTTTATTATTTTTACTTTTTTTCCCATTTTCATTGTTTCCTCTTAAACTTCTTCGCGTTCAGCGACCTCATCGTTAATGCATTATTATGGTACAGTATTTTAGGAGGGAGCTGAGTACCTCGGCGTTTATTATTTTATCTATGTACAGACTTCTTGCATTAGAGGGATCGAACGACAGACATCGATCTTCCTTTAGGTTACAAACGAGTAGGTAGGTACATGCGACGTTTTACGATACGTTACGCCGTCTAGTCTATAGTCTAGATGATTTACCTGTCGTATCAACGATGTATTCGTTTCTTTTTTCTCTCTCTCTCTCTCTCTCTTTTTGTGTGTGTCGTGTGTGTATGTATTACGTGTGTGTGTGTGTTTCTTTTTTCGTTACCTCTTACGACGCTACGAAGTACCTCAAAAGGGTCGCCGTCAACGCACTCCGCTTTCTAATCGCCATCTTTATAACAGAGTTCTCCCTCGAACCAAGACTCGTGGGGCATTACCGCCCTCGATCTGAGCAAAAATTTTATCCTGAAAATATTTATACGCGATCATTGTGCCGTGCTTGTATATACAAAGGTCAATGTACAGAGCAAGAGCGTTCACAATTTCTCACATGCATATCGAATTCGATACGATTCGTTCGAGAACCTCCCCCCCCTTACGGAACGCGGAACCGTGGAGTTTTCATGTCCCATCAGTGGTTCACTAACAGTACGGTGAAACGAAAAGTATTATCGTAGGTGTTTCGCAACAGGAAGAAAGCAGAGAAACGCCAAGGGCACTCTTCGAAGAGTACACAGTCATATACACGGTGATCGCATTAAAATTGTTGTCTCGTTGCTACACCCCCGTCCTCTTCAATGTGTGCACGTCCACCTCCACGTTTTATTCTGGAAGCATTTAAACACGGTATCTCCTCGGGACTCCGATTTTGTACAATTCGAAACTGCTTTTTTTCTTTTTTTCTTTCTTTCTTTTCGAATCGGTGTAGTAAGACTTCGTAACAGTACGATTGATTGTGAATCGCCCTTACAATCGGCTAAAATAAATGCTTTTATATATCTTTACGCGAGGCTGCGATATTCCCATTATATCTTTGCGCGAAACTGAACCTAAAGTACACACGTTTAACACAGTTATACGTTCGGAACGTGTGCCCTGTTTTTTTTCCCCCCCCGAACTGCTTGCCAAATAGGACGAAACAGATTATCCCAAATAATACTGGGGAGATGCCCTCCGATGTGAACCTCGAAAACATTTCGGTTATTTTAGTTCTTACACTTTTATAGAACAGCGCGAACTACTATGAAACGCTGAGATATTCGGTATAATACCATTCATCCTTTCATTATTAGCGACTTCGTGATCGAATTAATTAATAACAGCTGTCACGATGAGATATTGTGATGACGATAATGAGAACGACAATGATGGTGACTACAGTCTGGTACGATGCTTAGGTTAACGTAATACAAATGACAGACACGATTTATGCTGATCACGATAGTGTAAAAAAGGGACAATGTCGGTATGGATCAAAATGAGATCTTTAAACGCTCCTTGTACGTTGGTCGTTTAAAACAGAAATATAAGAATCCCGGGTTATCGTTGAAAAAGTACGAGTTTTTAGCGTGACACGACTGCGAAACGAAGGTTAAGAGTTTATTTACAGGAAAACGCTTATCGAACGACGACTTGTTGCACTCTGTAGTCTAGAGACGAGTGACAACAGTGTGTATAAGCATAAAAGAAAGAAAACGTTGAATTCGCAATCATGAAGTGTCCCGACATAACGCTGGCTGTATTATAAACTATAGAGTATTTTACGAACGTTTAGAAAAATCCTAACCTCTTTTACTTTGCAAATCATATTGTCGGACTCGTGATCGTTAAGGAGGTTTTTGTAAGATGTTTCTGTAAACATCGGTTTCGAGACATTTGGACATTGTCCGTACAGTACACTGAGAACGATCGCGCGGATGCGTAGATGCAAACGAATTCTATATTACTGACGCTATGCTTGAGATATTTCTAACGGGACACGTATTCGCGCGTGTGCAGTTTGTACGTAAGTGGACACTCCTCCAATATGAACCCCTCGAAAGGAATAGTGATATAAACGAAACAGAAATTACGTTACCGTGACCCACGTTATAAGACGGAACAGACTTACGTTCCTTTGACATTCCGGAAAATGTATAGAGGCACTCGCGTTATCCAACCATATAAAAGTGCATAATGAAACGAAGTACAAGAAGCATATACACACATATACAGGGCGTACGGCCACCTTTGAGACAAACTTTAATGGGGGATTCTGGAGGCCAAAATAAGACGAAAATCAAGAATACTAATTTGTCGATTCAGGCTTCGTTGAAAAGTTATTAACGTTTAAAGTTTGCGTACAGCTGGGTGCGCGCGACGATGGTTCCCGCTCAGCGTGAGAAACTCTACTGAGCGACGTATCGAGTCTCGCAGCTTCCCCGAGTGAGAGTCACTACCGCGCATGCGCAGCGTTCGCAGATCGCAGTTTCACAGGCGGAACTTTAAACGTTAATAATTTTTTAACAAAACCTGAATCGACAAATTGGTATTCTTGATTTTCGTCTTATTTTGACCTCTGGAATCCCTCATTACAATTTTTCCCAGGGGTGGTCGAACACTCTGCATATACGTAATTTACACACACACATGTACACATATATATGCATACGTAAATAAATATACATATATGTGTACACGTATATGTATAATGATATACATACATACATACATACGCACGGAAGATATGCAGCAGATATGTACGTATGTATATACATTATTTGTAATGTTTGGTAGAAGCGACTTACGGTGCAGGAATGGTTGCAATAAAAAGCAATCCTTATGTCGAGGACTAAGGCTCGTTTTGAGTATCGCGTGACTAAATGAAGGAGCAGACCGCACGGTTGAACTTACGTTTGCATACAAATATAAAATTAGGCTATATAAAAATTCTTTACGTGTACACATGTATTCACCGATGTGTGTCGTATGTGTGATCGCGTAAATGTATCTTTGATAGTCAGAGCGTACATTCGGGTTTTATAATTTTCAATCAATAATAAAATCATATCCATTCGCTGACGGACGATTCCATCGTTATTTAATCGCCTTGCATATTTATTAATAAGAGAACGTAGTTCGGGAATTGTTTCCCTAGTTAGTTCATGGCGTCTAACCCCTAAATGCTAGCTATGTCACTTACGCTAAATCTAGACTCTTACAATAGCATACGGTAAACTAACCATCATATACCTACTTGCACAACTTAGAAATTAATATTGTGTACTATGTACAACACTTAGAATTACACTTTTTTTCCTTTTTTTAAAACCCACTTCACCAAGGAGAGAACATTTAAAGTGATCTCGTAAGAACAGTTGCATTTGTCCACGTGTGCGAGAATACGTTATAACATGTCCTTACACATCCGATTTAACTTCCACGCAGATTGGAGGCTACACGTCGCACTGGCATAACAGTTGAGGCTACTCATCCCAGACACATCACAGACTCATTCCAAATAAAAACACATATGCCTTTAGCGTTGCATCATCGTTTAACGATTACATATCATTCATTATGTACAAAAAAGCGTCTCCATTGTGAACTTTGGGCAAGCCTGGACGTTCCACAGGTCGATTATAGTCTTCAGACACAACCCGCTGATCGAAAGAATTTTATCCGAAAAGGGAATGGAAATTTGCGTACGATGTATGTACACTTGTGTATCATGAACGTGAAACAATACTTGGGTCTATAAAGGCTATTAACGCATCGAGAGTATTCAATGTATTAAAATATGGAAATAGTATTTTTTTGTTTTTTTTTTGTTTCGACAGGCTTCGTTATTATATCGTTTCATATTCCTTCGAATGTAATAAAAAATTAAATATCACGATACGTATGATTTCGTACAGAAAATTTAATAAATTATAACTAAGTCTGTACAAATTGTTCGATATCGCTTTAAAATTAAAATTTTGCATTCCTCTACCAATGATAAGTTAGAAGCAAAACGTATTTAAAAAGCATTTCCTTAAAAAAAAAAAAAAAATGGCGGTGGAAACAAGAATAATTATATTTAATCTAGCTGGTAATTATACACATTTTTAGTACACATTAACATAGAGATAAGTAATGCGTAAAAAATATTAATTATCAATTAAAATTACACTACTGTTACGTTCGAACAAAGGCTTCTCGCTGACTGTAGGGAGCACTAAAACAATGCTTTTGTAAAACGGTTATTTTACGTAATGCAGGAATGATCTTCGACTAAAAATACAATGAAAGTATGAAATTTATAAAATAAATTCTGTTTAAAACATCGTACTGTAATCTCCGTTTCGGAATATGATAAAGTTTGTGTAAAAAAAAAAAAAAAAAAAGACAATAAAACAGGAAGGAAAAAAAAAATCTCTTTAATTTGATTAGAATTTGACGACCAGTAAGAACGCAATGGCTGACGCCCGAAAACATTGGTAAATTATGAAATATTCGATCGTCATCATCGTCTGAATAAAACTTTCGTCGAGATAGAACAAACAGTCATAAATACCCTAAGAAAATTGTCACAGCAAGTTGATCTGTATGTTGCTAAATTATTAGACTATCAATCCTCGTCAGAAAGTGGTTCATACTGCGCGGAAAGCAACGGTGCTGGCTCAGCTTGCATTTGTTCGGACTTCACAGAAACAGATCCCGATGTTGGA